AAAAAAAAAAAAAAAAAATTAGAAACCTCCAACATAAAACACCCAACTAAAAATTGGACAGTTGAAAGGAACAGACACTTCTCTGAAGTACAAATGGCCAACACTGTATACAAAAAAATGTTCAGCATCTCTGGCCAATAGAGAAATGCAAATTAAAGCAACACCAGGATTCCATCTTATGCCAGAAAGAATAGCTATCATCAAGAAATTAAATAAGGGCTGGGGATTTAGCTCAGCGGCAAAAGCGCAAGGTCGTTAGTTCGGTTCCCAGTACCGGAGGGAAAAAAAAAAAAAAAAAAAAAAAGAAATTAAATAATAACAGCAGAATATGGTGGTGCATGCCTGTGCTCCCAGCACTTGGGAGGCTGAGGCAGGAGGACCAAGGTGAGTTTGAGGCCAGCCTGTACTACATACTGAGTTCAAGGACAGCATGAACTATTTAGTGAGACCCTGCCCCCCCATAATAATAACATGCTGGTAAGGCTGCAGGAAAAAGGAACCCTTCTACATTGTTGGTGGTAATGTAAACTAAATACAACCATTGTGGAAATCAATATGAAAACTGCTCAAAAAATTAATACTAGAATCATGTTCAACCCAGGTATTCCCTTTCTAGATATCTTCCTAAAAGAGTTAAAGACGTCATAGTACAGTGATACATGCATACCCATGTTTACAGCAGCACAATTTACAACAGCTGAATCTTGGAAGTGGGCTATATGTCCATCAACAAATGCATGGATAAATAAAATGTGGTATTTGCACACAATGGAGTACTACTCTGCATAAAGAAGGACAAAGGAATCATTTTTAGGAAAATGGACACACCTTGAGACAATAATGTTAAGTGAAATAAATCAGACACACAAGCTTAAATATTGCATGATTTTTCCTATACAGGAAACCCAAAATATAAAAGGCAAAATAAAAGGTAGATAGCATGAAACAGGGAGACAAATCTTTTTCAAACACGAAGGGGACTAAGAGATGGAAGGGGTAGGGGAAGGGGACGAAAAAATAATTAAGACGTATTATGTACATATACCAACTCCCATGAGGAGTACGATCCTTATGTACAAACATGCACTAATCAAAAATAAAAACTCATTACAAAAAGGCGTATCCTTTTTCCTTTTATCCTTGTCACAATCAGTTACCATGTCCTGTCAATTCCACTTTCACAGTCTACCCACTGCTCTTTCAAGTTCATCTGATATATACCCTCCATGCTCTACTCTCTTGCTTCTTGGTCTTTACCCAAGCCACTCACCTTGACCACACAGGTCTAAATTTAAACCATAGCCACTCCCAAGACTGAGGGTTCTTTCATGGTCCAAAAGCCACAGGTGAGAGAGGCCCCTTTAATTAACACTCACTGGACCGTCTGTTTCCTCTACCACAAACACATTATATTTGTGATTTTGTTTCATTATCTGTCTTCCCCAGTAGACAGTAAGCTCCTTGCAGACTGCACCATGTTGGTCTTGCTGCAGAGTCCAGCCCAGCCCCTGACACAATGCAGGTCTATGGATAAGTGCAGGCATCATCACTTCAGTTCATAGAATCTTCCCTTCCTGTCAATGCCTAAAGGACTTTCTGTTGTTGCAAGGAATGTCTGACCACACAGAACCCCTCACCCCAAGATAACCAGGTAGTCCCATGGCACCCAGGAAATGTCCTTGAAAGCAAAAAACATCCTTTCCTTGGAAATTACATAGAGTTGAGATTCTTCCATACCTATTTGGTAAGGAGAAAAGAGGCTACCTTCTCAGAAGTGGTCAAGGGACAGAATGTCAGGAATGAGATGAAAAGGAAGTGTGACAGAAGTGTGTAGAGACAGAAGCATGCAGTCTCTAGGAGCTCCCATAGAAGCTGGTAGGCTATTTCTTATCCAAGATGTTTGGGACCAGAATTATTTCAGATTTGAGGGGTTTTCCAGATTCGGGAGTATTTGCATAGATCAGTGATGGCAAAACTTTTAGAGTTTTCAGTGATAACAAACAGCCCACTGAAGCATGTAGGTTGTAGGTTCACCACCACTGGCATAGACCTTACCAGTTGAGCATGACAAACCCCAAATCTGAACGTCTTTTTAAGAGCATTATGTTTAATGCTCCAAATGTTTTGCATTTCAGAGCATTTCAGGTGAGGGATGTTCAATCTACAGTATAATAGTCAGAGCTAGAAGTGGTGGTGCACACCTGAATCCCAGCATTTTGGGAGGCTGAGGCAGCAGGATCACAAGTTGGAACCCAGCTTAGACAACTTAGCCTGACCCTGACTCAAAATAAAAAAAGAAGTCTGGGATGCAGCTCAGCCCTAAAGCCCTGGGTTCGATTTCAAATATACCTCCACCAAAGTCAGCATTCCGACCCCAGAGTATGGCTATCATGTCTGTCCCATGGATGATCAGGACCAAAATAACTTAGCAAACACCTCTGGCAAGGGCAGAGGTTTGACTTGACTGAACAGAACACCACACAAAGACAGTACAGATTTTGAAGCTTGGCCACCCTGGGGTGACATCCTGGCTCTCTACTCCCAGCAATGTGACTTTGTGCAGAAACTTTACTTCTCTGAGTCTCAGTATCTTCATCTCTAAAACAGTGATAATGGTCTACCTCTTAGGATTAATGAGTGAAATATGCATATAAAGCTTCCAGCAGAGAGTAAATATCTGAGGAGTGCCAATGTTATCACAACCACAGATTCCTAGTAGGACAATGATTCTAAGGAAATACCACAGCACATCCCTGTATCATTTTTCCTCTTCCACATCTTCCTTCTTAGAGAAGGCTGGACACTCAATAATAGAATTCTCACATTTCATTTTGAATCAACCAACCCACTCGAAGCCCCTTTATCTGAGAGAAAGTATCTAACAAGCTTTGTTCTAATCAAAGCCCCAAAACCTGCCTGGACAAGCAGAATAAACAAAAGTACTTACTCTTCTTGAAGAATGAATTCGCTATTTTCTGGAGAAAACTGCCCGGTCACAGGATGCCTAAATGCTGTGGTCTGCTGGTTATGGCTAGAGAGTAGAGAAAAGATAAGTGAGAAGTTATGTGAATGGTAAGGATTACGTCACAACAATGGGTCAGTAATGTCTAGGGACTCCTTGGTCATCACAGATTCCTCCTAGGGGGAGAAAAGGTGACCTTTTTCCTACGGTGTTTAATCCATTAGAAGCCAGTTACATTGGAAAACTAAGAATTTCCAGTTTAGGTGTCAAAGTCCACCTAACTGTGGAGATTTTAATTGTGAGGAATTTTTGGCTTCAAGAGAACACAATATCTTAGAAAACATTTCATGAAGTACTATATTTACTCCAATACACTGAGGTGTTATCTAAAAATTGCTGTAAGATAACATGAGCTAAACAAGAACAAAGGGAAGTAGAGGACACTTTCAAAAGCTTCTAAAACCTGTGAACCAGGGAAAGAATTCTAAAAATTAACCACCCACCCAGCAAATTCTATCTTCTTAAAATTCTTCCCCCTATTACAAAATGTCTTCAGTTCAATGATGGGATCATAAACATATGGGCATGCCTCTGCAGCTTGAGTCATACAATTTCAACATCATGGGGTTTCTATCACCCTTTTAAAGTAAGTAAGAAGGTATCAGCTTCCATCCCAAGCTGACAGGAATAACCAAAGCGTGTAGGTGTTTTGTATGTCAACAAAGGCTGCCTGGTTCTTTTAAAAGACAGAAGCTGGCTCTGGAGGCTACTGATTATTCACAAATAAACTTTACTAACATACTTCTTTAAAATAAGAATTTGATTTATTGAAGAAATAAACTTTACCAATCAAAAAAAATCACAGTTGTTTTAAAAATTGTATAAAATCTGGAAAGAAAAAAGTTACCTATAAAGTCACTATCTGGAAATTTACCTGGGCATTGTCTTGGTGCATGCCCCCCCCTTATCTAATTCCAGCTGCTTGGGAAGCTGAAATAGAAGGATTGCAATCTGGAGGCATCCTGGGTAATTTACTGACACCTTATCTCAAAAAATAAAAAGGGCTGGGGACATAGTGCAGTGGTGAAGCACCCCTGGGTTTGATCCTAGTACCCCCCCCAAAAAAGCTATTGTACTATCTATAAAAATACCTTGATTTCCTCCCACACACATCTTATTAATGTACAAAATATCCTATATCATTAATGTTTCTTCACTTGAAATGGCTAAATAATAATCCCATCATATAGCTATAAACCTTTCTTTTCTATAACTTTAAGAGATGTCACAGGGCACTTATGTGCCCAGTCACTACTGTAGGTGCTGCAAACAAACAAAAAAATCTTTACCCTATGGTGTTGATATTTTAGATGTACGTTCTTCTTAACGCTGGGTGTTTTAGGTGCTCCCTATCATCACTGTCATAACCAATACACTTTTGTGCATAGGCTTTTTCTACAATTCAAATTATTGCCTTAAAGTCCCAGAGATAAAATTACTGAATCAAACAGCATGGTCATTTTTTAAAACCCTCAATACAGACAGCTAAAATACTTTCACTGAGAGAGTCAATAGATCATCTCAGTCTGGTGATGTTAAGATATTAGTTCCATCTCCAAACTGACCACTGAGCCTCCCTGGAGATTATATCCAAATCAGCACAACATAAAGAAGGAAACAGAAAAACTCTCAAGGCCTACATAGTTTTCCTGACTACCCTAGAGCCTAAGGGCAAGCTGGCCACTGAGGGTTATAGTGGTCCAGATCTTAACAAGGCAAACGTTAGCACGATTAGGCCAAGTTGACTCCTGGCCTGCACTATATGCCACATCTACTACACCCTCACCCTTCCCAATCACAGCCAGCTCTCAATTCTTGGTTCCTGATCCTGGCAAGATTTTCTCTGTCAGGCAAGAGCTTGATCTTCCACCCAAAAAAAACAGTTTTGGTGTGAAATTCTGTGATAAGGACCAGAGATAAGTATGCTTTAATACCTGTTTCAGAAGCCCTTGTGCTGCACTCAATGATTAAACTTTATCTGCACCCACCTTCTTCTAGAGAGTCATCTTCACTCACCAGGGAATTTGAAGATGTAAATTCTAATCTAAGCCAGCCTCATTTCAACATGGAGGGGAAAAATATGCTTGCTAATAATGTCAACAATAATAAAGCAATAACACTACCACTATTACCTCTAAAGGGTTTTATAGTCTACAAAGAATTTCCTTACACATCAACCCTATTTTATGAATGAGGAAACTGGGTTCAGAGAAGTGACTTATACAAGACCACTTTGTCAGTAAGACTGGCACATGAATCCGGGTCCTCTGTTTCTAAATTCCATGCTTCCTAACTTCCATGATAACCTGCTCTGCCCTTCCCTTCGGAATTTGGGCTGTCAAGTTCCTGGCCCTCACCAGAAAGCACTAAAGAAGAAGAATCAGAAGAACAGCACTACCCCCATATGAGCCCCTCTCTAGCTAAGTCCCTCTTTCCCTTTGTGTCCAGGGCCAAAGTTCTCAGTAACAGTATTTATGTGGCACTCAATAGCTCCTTTGTAGCTTTTGATACTACTATAAGATTAGCTGGTGGATCTTTGGGAAGGGGGGAGCACAAAGCACATCTTTTCTATGTCCCTGAAGCAGATACAGCAGCCAGCAGTCACACAACTCTTGGGTTTCCCACCCAAAGAGTGTACTGGCTTAAATACACCAGAACTCTTGGCTAAGAGCATCCTGAGGGGCAAGGTGGAAATGCTAAGCATAAACAAAACTGCATTCTACCACTAGAAATAAGGTTGTTTGGGTTTTTTTGTTTTGGTTTGTTTTTTTTTGAGATAAAATCTTGCTACGTAATTCAGGCCGTCCTTGAGCTCACTCTGTAGCCCATAAAGTCCAATACATGGTAATTAGGCTGCCTCAGACCTCCAAATGCTGGGATTGTACCTGTGTGCCATCACGCCCACTAGTAATTTTTAAAAGCTGACAAAAATAGCTGCCATCAGGCCCTAATATAGATGTTGCCCTCTATGCCAATCATTTCTAGCCATAGTATCACCACCACTATCTCCACATCCACAAAAGGCTTTCATCACACTCACATTCATCATCTTACTGGACCCTCCTGAGTACTCAATGAGGTAGGTAGGACAAGTTATTTCCATTCCCATGATACAAATAAGGAAAACAAGGCTCCAGATTATTTGATGTTATTGGAGCACTAAATTGAAAAAGGAGAGTTTTAGAAAAGATGCATACATAGAGAAAAAAAATTAACCAGAGTAATGCCTCCTGAATGTTGAAGTCTTTTTTTTTTTTTTTTTTTTTGGTACCAGGAATTGAACTCAGGACCTTGCATTTGCCAGGCAGGCACTTATGCCACTGAGCTATATCCCTGGCCTTGAGGTCTTAAAATGTGACCATTTTTTATCAAATACACCCAGCTTGCTAATGACAGAGCTTCTAGTTCACCATTCTCTAAGCAAAAGGACATGAATTAGGTCCCTGGATTATTCCATTCAACTTCCCCAAACAGCCAGTAAGACAGGTTATATGGGAGCACAGGTCATGCTTGAGAAAAGTGGAACCCACAAAACTAGACAATTTGCCCGCAGTCACAAACAATTCCTCTGCTCCCTATACACTACCCCCTCTCACTTCTTTCCACTTTCCCAGGTACATCCTTAAAAAACAAAGACTGCCTGTTAAAGCCTGCAAATCCTTCGACTTTACTTGCTGTCCCTGCTTCCTTAGGCCCAAAGCCCCTAGTCTTCTGCATTTCCTGATTCTGAAACCCATGAAGAGTATCAGGTCCTATCACCTTGTCAAGAAACATTTAACAGGCACAGGCACATTCCTTGAAATACCTGTTCTTGAACCTGACTTGCCACCTTACTCCTTAGGAGTATAGAGATGGGAGTCAGGTAGCTGGTTTCATGAGAGCATAGAAACTTCCTCCTCCACACAAGAGCTTCTGCTTCTCCTCAGTCTACTGACAAAGCAATTTGGTAAATTAAGTAAAATGCAATCTAGCTTTCTTTTTCAAATCTCAGTCCTCCTCCTAGCAACACCCCTTTAAAGAGATAAGGCAGCCAGTCTCACATAGAGGAATACCAGGGAGTATGGTGGGAAGGTGGCATGGGAAGCTGGGTAAACATTCAGGAAGTAAGCACACCTTCATAAGCCCAGGGCTAGGAAGAACTGGGCTAGGCCCTGCAGAAAGCTAGCAGCAAACCCACAAAAGACTTGATAACAGAATAAAGTTAAGAACTAGGGCAAACTAGAGACCATTTGAGCCCAATGTAAGAGCTCACCTACAACCATGGACAGGGCTAGTGTAGATGTAAATGGGCCCTGCAATTTCTTACAATGTTTTTTGCAAAATTAATTTTCCATTTATATAGATTTTGACTCTAATGTGAGCAGTGACTCTGGCTGATTAAACTTAAAGGTTCCAAGATGTACTACAAGCGGCAGGACAAGAAGTTCTAGAATTATGTGAAGGATGATCAACAACAGAGGTCTGAGTACCTTGATAAGCCTGGATGTCTGACAGTGGTGGTACTGGTATGTCACAAGTATGAAAACTCTCCTCTGTCAGTACCAGCTCTCATCTGGCCCAGGCTTTAAAGTGTAAGAAAAGTATCTGACCTAAGAAATCAGAAGGGGAGTTGCATCAAAGATCTTCTCACTGGTTTGCTTAACAGTACTCCCCACCCCCACCTCCGCCCCTTTCTGGCTCTTCCAGGTGGCTCCTAGGACACTGAAAGAGTTGCCTGCAGGCTGAAGCCACAGTCAGCACGGCCTTAAGCTTGTTAAGGCACTTACTATCTTTGTTCTAATCCCAGAATCTCAAGAAAACTGAGCATTCTGGGTAACCTAATAAAGGGCTCAAAACTGGGAAACTGAAATTCCAAGAACATAAGCAACTGCCTTTTTCTCCAGCTCTCATTTGGTCCCCTCAAAAAAGAGGTAGCAATCAAGACTCAAAACAGTATCTCTACATTTCCTCAATACTTCTTAAGTTTCTTTGGGATATTCTACTTAACATTTTTACAAAATTGCTCATTT